CCATCTATTTCTCTACCACCAGGTAAACTTGACATTCATCGTACATCATGTACACCCATCATCTTTGTTCCAAATCTGTTTCAAAGGTTCTTAAATTCCATTTTGATTCATTAATTAAGTACAAAACTGTGGAAAACTTAAGTTTTTTTTAAAAAGTCTAACTCTTTAGTAACTGAGAAGACACCCTCTTGCAGGTTTACATCATTTTCATGCTGTTAGAATAAATCCACAATGAAACATACTGATTTTGTTTGTTACTTAGAAGTAGAAGCCCTGTAAATATCAGGATTATAAAATAATGAACACAGTGAGACCAATCTTAAGGCACTGCAAGTTGTTTTCTTATTTGTCTGACAGCTTCATTTAGCCAAATGGAGTATATAATTATTTTCTTGGTAAGATGTATATTAGAGGATATAGCCAATAATCAAGGACTTTAAAAAACAAAATAAACAAGAAGTGCTCTCAGATCATTTGAATTTTACTGCATACAGATCTTCCAGCTAGGAAAATACATTTAAAAGTTATGATTACACTTCAAAATAAGATTAATGTTTTAAAGAAAAAGAACAGCTGCTAAACCTACAATGGGTCATCCATTTCCTGTATCAAACAGCTGCTCATAAGAAACAAGGAAATCCATTCCTCTTAGGTAGGTAAGGTCAAACAACGCCCATCGATGTTGTTTTGCCTCTGAGGGGCAATTAAATGCCCATTTGGTTGAGAGAGATATTGAATGAGGGGGAATTAAATATTGCTAGAGCCTGTAACATGGTGCAAAACGTGAATCCACTGTTCTCAAAGCACCATGTATTGCACAGGAAATGAAGAAAGGTATGTGGATCCATACAAAATCACATCTTTAGTATTTTAGCATTGTAAGTCATTGCTGATAAACCCTTAAGAGCAGAAGCAGAGATCCTCTTCCACACGTGCACACACATTGAGATGATTACTGTACAAGATTTAATTTAAACAAAAAATGGAAAAGAAAAAGTCTGCAATGGCCTTACAAAGATAGAGCTAGTAGCAGAGTTTGTCTCAATTTCACTGTCTGACACAGTGCCTCTGGATCCTGTCAAATTGCCACCGTTTTCCACACTCGGGCCATCACCAGCATTGCTACTCAAGTCACTGTCTGCTCCTAATGTCTCTCCGGAACTGTTACTAACCTGTGGAGAAAAAGAAAGCAGTTACCTTCAATAGACAAAGACACTGTGGAGAGAAAAGTTGTAAAATGTTTCTTCTTAAGGTACAAAATAAGAAGCAGTACCACTGAAGGCCATGTTTGTTTTTTCTCCTTCGGTAACATTATCTTTTCATCAAATCCTATTCTGCAGAAAAAGATGAGGAAAGACTCAAAAAGCCCTTCAGCAGAAAAATCACAGACCTGTTTAGGTTGGAAGGGATCTATTAAGATCATCTGTTAAGATGAGCTCCTCCGCTCAAGCAGGGTCAGCTAGAGTATGTTGCTGAGGACCATGACCAGTCAGGCTTTTAAAACCTCCACAGATGGAGGATCCACAACCTCTCTGGGCAAACTGCTCCAGTGTTTGGCCACCCTCAAAACTAAAAAACCGGTTTCTTGGGTTCAGATGGAATTTCCTGTGCTTCAATTTTTGTGTTGATTGCCTTTTGACCTGCCAGCGGGTACTACTGAGAAGAGTCTGGCTCCCTTGCCTTCATTCCCTCCCGTCATTTGTACCCATTGACAGAAATAACCAATAGGGGTATTTATACTTATTGGTAAGATCCCCCCTGCACCTTCTCTTCTTCAGGCTGAAGAGTCCCAGCTTTCTCAGTCTCTCCTCTCACAAAAGATGCTCCAGGCCCTTAATTGTCTTTGTGACCCTGATCTGGATTCACTCCAGTAAGTCCTTATCGTTCTGGGTATGTCCAGAACTGGACATAATGCTCCAGAAGCAGCCTCGCCAGTGCTCAGTAAAGCAGAAGGATCACTTCCCTCAACCTGCTGACAATGCTCCCCCTAACAGAGCCTAGAATACTGTTGGCCTTTTCTGCCATGAAGGTGCATTGCTGGCTCATGGTCAGCTTGTTGTCTGCCTGGATCCCAAGGTGCCTTTCATCAGCTTGGAGGAGGAAATACTTCAATATCAACAGGCTCTTCTAGACCCATCTTCTATCTGGGGCAGTGTCCCATAGCATACAATTTCTGGGTCCATTAGAGAAATACAATCAGAGTACTATTCTTGTTACAGGCTGGGAAAAGATTGTGGAAAGCTAGATATTCACAGGTATGCAGCAGTTTAGAGAGAGGAAAAACCAATAACAACAATAAAAAGGAAATTTCCTTGGGTTTTAACCCTGGAATGTGCTATATCAGATAACATGTGGTTAACAAGGCTCATTCTTTTTTTACTGAACACATTC